GTTTTGTCCACATAAATTTTATGTGTATAAAACGTCCCTACAACACAGGATTTTATTATGTTTTTAAGGAAGAGAAAAAAACCGAGCCTAACTTAGAGGTGAGCGCTGAAGAAGAATTTCTTCAAACATCACGAATGAATAACTCATTTAATTTTATGGAACGTAAACTGCGCCCAAATGCGGAGCAGCTAAATTGTTCTTATACCTCTTCTTGACGATACAAAAGTATTTGAAATGAAGCGACACGAATGTATCGTAACAGTTAGATAAGTGTCGGGTAATCAGACGTGGCCCATTAAATGACGACTCCGTTTGGAACAAGCAAAGCGATTACCAAATTAAACGCTCGAGACATTAGCAGTAACCAAAAAATTTAAGTTTCCTGCATTTTACACATAAAAATAGTATATTTATCTATTATGATGTATTAAAAAATAATAATTTATAAGTTGAATAATTTATACTAAAGTGGAATAAGATTTTTAGGCTTAAATTAAAATCACCTTATTAACCCCGAAACCGGCCAATCAGCTTGGGTTATTCGAATCCTAAGTGCTATTTATATCGTCAGCTTGATCTACCACGAGGCAACGAACTCACCACCTGTCACGTCGGTTCGTTTAATGTTATTTAGTTAGTGAATTTGGTATAGATGACTTGCATTGTAAGTAGCTATGCTTATCTGGTGATGACTGTATTTAAAGAAAGGCTTCTAACGAAACGCCTGCAAGATAGAAGACAGTTCTGGTGGCTGTCAGCTTAGTTTTATATAATATTTCGAATTAATTGATGTTGCCGACTTTCGATACAGGATCGCGATCGCAGACGGCTCGTACTGAATATAATCATCAGCTTATTGGATGACGCTGAATGAGTTTTTTTCTAAAAGTACTTAAGAAATAAATATGAAGATCACCAAGTCACAATTGAAGGTAATGAACCTTTGCCCATGGACTTCCGCAGGTACATTGGGGGTGTCGTAGGTAGTAACAATAACGTTATAAAGATTGTTAATAACAAAAAAGTATTCTTCCTTCCTTGTACAATTATAGCAGAATACGATGTTGTTCAACGTAATATGTTTATGAACCTCGGTACATTCCATTGTAAATGTATGCCAGGTAAACGAAATAGGATAATGTTGCCGGCAAGCACACTTTGTTTAAACTATAGAAAATAGACTTAATCTGGTGCCGGTAAGGCTGAATTATTTGGGATTAAAACTTGACTAATACTTGAAATGAAAAATAAATGCATATGACATACTATAAAAAATAATTATACCCGCTGATACGAAAAGTTACTTAGCCTCTGATCAGTTATTGATGTCTATTGGAGTCGGAAATATAAAATAAGACTTGTGCTGTACTAAATGTGGATGTGGTGCGTGAACACACACAGGTACGAATTCTCTAATTTTATCCTTTATTTCATTAAGGTAAGTAGTAAAACAAAGTCATCTTTACAATCGTAAGGATAGAAGAATTGTATTATATATGTATAGCTACGAAGTAAGTCATTTCAATCTGAAATTTTTGAAATAGCCACATTGGCTATTGTGTTTATGACGGTAACGTATCCGAACTTCAAATCAACTTGCTTATTGAATCAGAATCCCTTTGTTAGGTCAATTATTAATAATAACTCATTCAAGTATATAATTCTTTTTTGGAATTATTGACTTGATATCAATATTTTCTTCATTCTTCGAATTTCCATTCACTTCAAACCTAGAACCCTTCTTAACACATATCATATGATCATGACAACGCCGGTCGTTGATCCCGCCCCCTAATCTTTACAGCGACCTTACACACTTCATAAAACCGAATCGAAATTAGTACGCCGACGTTTCAGCAGTTACGCTCCCCCCCTCTAGACAGATTTTCGTGTTTCGATCAAAATTATTACGTAGAGTGGCGAATGATGTACCGTATGCCTGGTTATTGTTAAATTTTGTTATTACCTCCGCTTCCGTATAAGATTTACACTTTAAAATAATGCGTTTTAAATGGACAACCCTGATAATTACTATGTAACGCTGTTACGTTTATTATGTTAGTTTAGTAACATAGGACAAATAGTTACTTACAATTAATTCTAAAACTCTTTACAACTGTAAACCTAAGCAATGGAAAATTCAATCGCACTAAAGCTTTATATAACCAATAGTAGCAAACTCAATGTCTTTCAACTTAATTTTGAACAGTCTCCGTTATATATAACCTAATTACAATGTATTAAATTTATCAATTTAATTTAGGGCAGTAAAACATCATTAAGAAGTATGGAATTTATCCATTTAAATGGGGATGGTAAAGAGACAAAAGCCTGCAGTGCTGTCAGAGTATTTATAAACATTTGATATCAATTTCAAATGCACAAACAATGCTGATGATGTCATATGGCGACATCCTGACGCTTACTGACATTGTGCGTATTAACACAGGCACTTACTCGTCCATGATTCCTTTAAGTCATGGTTTGATAAAACTATTGTTTTTAAATTTTTTACATGTTTATTGCATTCCCTTCGAAATATGAATAAAAATAATGCATGGTTTGATAAAACTATTGTTTTTCAATTTATTACATGTTTATTGCATTCCCTTCGAAATATGAATAAAAATAATGTGGGTTATGGCAATAGCCAATTTTTGCAAAACTGTTCAACTTAATATAGGTACATTCATAAACACGTGTATCGACGAGAAGAGTAGCACCAAAATAGATCCACATTTGTCCATACTTTCGTACCCAATAGGTCCATTTCGGGCCGTTCGTCCCTAATAGCTCAATAAACCTTTCCGTACATACATTTCGGTACTTTTTTTTAATCTGTACTCCCTCAGTATACAAATTAACACCCGATTAGCGTAGTGGAAGTCTCTGGTGGCAGAGAGTTCGATCCCCACAACTGCTAAAATATTGTATGTTTAGAGTTTTCCTAGTGTCGTGGTATTTTATATACTCGTATCTATAATATTTATTTAAACAAGATAAGCATGTTTATTATTTACCAGGTATCCAGTTATTATAACTTTTGCTTACTTGAGGACCAGATAAGGTGGGTAAAAAACTATGTCATGAAATATTTATTATTGTACACCGTCAATGTTGTCGATATACGTAATCTAAGAATGCATTGTAACAAATTCGCCAAAGAATACAATCTGATATACTTTTGTTATGAAAATAAAAGTGTCTCTGAAGTATCTAAATGCGTAAAATTTCAACCTCTTGCGTACATAGCTCAAGCGGTTTATCTCGTGGTCAAAGCTCGCTTAATCTAATAATTCATTGCGGTTAGCAATGCCGTTTAGGCAGCAACTTCAAAGCGGAACTTTGTCCACCGAGCCGCCATTAGCTTCCATCGGTGGCTGACGATGACCAATAAATAATTGAATGTCGCGCGCGCTCACGTCCAAAGCTTGGGTTTTATATAAAGTGAGGCAATTAAGGCCGAGAACCATCGGTGCGGCATTTCGCTGTATCCACGACGCGTATAGCTATTTGAAGGACATAAACAGTTTGGATTAATTTAAAATTAATTTATAATAGCTGGCAGTTTTTGTTTTTATTTATTTCCAACTCATTGTAAGCGGCGATAGCTAAATGCACTAGTTTTGTTATAAATGTATGTTAATTAAAATTAGTATAATGCGATGATTACAAAGCGAAACAGCTGGAGGGTGGTCAACAGCTATATTGAGGGTAGCCGTATTAGGTTCTTAATTAGCAAAATGCATTATGCATCGTGCCTTGTGTTGACTGAAATACCGCTATCGGTTATTTTTCCTCTGCTTATTATCCTTTCTACGTGTGTTCGACACAATGTGCATGTGATACCACCCTTGCAGAACCGTAACAATTATCTGTGTGCCGAGCAAGTACTTTACCCATATGGGAATCAAGCACGATCCCCGGCGCTGAAGCCATTACCTTAGCAACTGCATCACCTAGTCATCGAAATCATCGAACTCCAAGTCCGAATTAAAACTTAATACCTGGAGAATGCATGCCACGCATGTGGACAAACATGCACTGATTATTCGATGGGGGTGGTGTTGGTGATAGGAAACGCCTTACTTTCACCGTCCTGGTGGGTGTGGACGTACGACCTATAACTAAGGGACTATATCTTCTTGTATGTTAGCAATAGATAGGACTTCAGACCAACATAATATATTTTAATTTATATATGGATAATTTTTTCGACGTCTATTTACCCTCTCAAGTAGAGAGCTAAGCGATGTCTCAAGATCTATCTATGGGAAGGGAGAGACAAGTGCCCCAACATGAGGGCAATTATTTACGGCACACGATTTTTTTCTATTTACTTTTCGAGGGCCACTCGGAAAGTTTTCAAAAATTCATAATTAATTATTTTCATAGAACTCTTCACCAGTATAATTATGATTCAATTTTAAAAAAAAAACTTCAACCACTCTTCTATGGGGTCCTTAAAGTTTAAACCTTAAAAGGAAAGTGTAAGCCTTAAACGACCGAAATTGTAGTCACATCTTCTGGCTATAAAAACAGTAGCTTGATTAGCAACAATTTTTCTCATTTAGGGAATTAAAAGTAGTCCCACGTCGCTCGGTCAGGTTGAGCCAATATTTCTAATGCAAGATTGAGCCTAGGATGAGCCAATATTATTTGAAGTAACCATTTTTGAGGGGTCAGTGTGCGGTCACAAAAAAAATTAAAGATAATCATGATGAAACAGTAGAACGCGTAGCTAGAATTCCATGACTTTTGCTTAAGTGAATACTTTTAAAAATAAAATAATGTTCAGTTCGGCAATGATTTTAATTAAATTTTCTATCGATTTTCCCACTACTACGTGCACTTATTACATATTAGCTTTTAGCTTCACAATACGTTCACTTTCATCCATGGTTCTCGTGAGTACCTACTTGCGAACACGACGTGTTGCCTGTCTTTGCACGTGTTGTCCCGGAGGATTTGTCAGCTTGTCCTGCTCGGACGGAAGAAGAATGACTGACAAAGATTGGTCACGACAAGAGCCAAGGGCCCAAACAAAGAGGTCCAAATCTTGGTTCGATAGTGATCTGCGCGTAGAGCGGGGGACGGTGGTATTACATTTTAACGCAATCAAAAAAAAAAAAATAACAAAAAGAACAAGACCGCAGAGTTTCTTGCCGGTTCTCTGTGCAGGTCTAGTTTAGTGAACTGGTGGTAGATTTTTTGTTGACGTTCAATAAGAGCTTAAGTTAGGGTTATTTAATAAATATACTTTGACTTTGAAAGCAACGTACAGTATTTTTTTATCAAATGTATTGAGAAAAGGTGGCAACCGAGGAGAATCGCCACCTAATGTTAAGTGATATCCGCCGCCCATGGACATTTGTAGCACCCGGAGGTTTGCAGATGCGTTGCCACCTTGTAATAAAGTGGGCCCCGGATACAACGCTTCTGCGTTGTGTGTCTGTTGAGTGATGAAGCTGGTGAATGTGGTGTGTGAAGTGTAACACTTACACTTCACAAGTCTTCTGTGAGGTCTTGGTACTCTCCCGGACGCACCCAAATTAATTTTTTTTGCCAATTTCGCGATTTTTATAACAATAAGTATAATTACAAGTGCACGTGCCAGGTGTAAAATTGATGAAAAATTTTTGCTACTGCCATGTTCTTTTGATAATTTTTCAACATTCTTAAAATAATGTTTGCAATGTGTACAGAAAAAGTAAGAGCCTCTATAAATTCAGTTGAAATACGTTATGTAATAACCATATCGTAAGCTACTTATAATGCAAATAACGGAAGTTGCAACATAGAAAACATAAAAATAATGTGAGGCAAAAGTTCCATCTTATCTGCCGTCAGACGTGGACACGAAGTCACATGAAGTGGCTTCCAATTACCGAAACACCCTAGACATATCGACTGCATTGCGCAAAATAAATCATGATACGTATATATGCGCCGGCTCTTTGCCAATATACGTGTTTGAATATAAAATCTCACCAACCGTTTGTTCGAAAGCTGTTATTTTATGCTCTACTAGCTTTTCGCCCGCGCCTTCGCTCGCGTTGAAGTCCTTAAATACACATCTTTCTTTAAAAACTCTATAAAAATATATATATATATATTTTTTTTTTCAACCTTTACAACACTTTTTTCCAATTAATAAATAGCCTATGTCCTTTCTCAGGCTCTTGATTATCTGTGTACCAAATTTAATTCAAATCGGTTCAGTCGTTTCGAAATCGAGACAGACAGACAGACAGACAGCTTACACTTTAACCGTAAAGTATAAATTCAAGGATCAACTTCACCTTAATTAACTTTAATTGAAAATAGCTTTCTCCGATCATAAACCATTTTTTTTCCAAACGTAACCGCTGTTTGCTTGCTGAGGTATCTCTATTTGCAAATTATCCAATAGCGGAAAGTTTGTTATTACTAAACTGAATTCATAATTTTACCCTCTGGCCGCATTTTTTGCGAATGTTGAAATTAGACAGAAACTGTGTTATAAAAAAGAGGCACAGATTTTAAACAAAACTCTTTATAATACAATATCGAAAATAATAAAGAACTTCATAATATTTTATAATGTATTACATTTACATAGATTCTATAATTTTTAATTTAAAACGACCACAATTTATAAAATTTTGACAAACGAAATTAATTAATTTGATGTAATCTAATTATTGTGCTGGCAACACGAAACCGAAATATTACGAAGCTTACAAAACCAATCTGTCATAACCATGAAAGCCATATAACGTCCAAATCGTGCGGTGGTATTAAAGAGCGTTTAAAAATCGCCCAAGACTGGGTTATTTGTAAAAAAACGTCATGAGACAAAACAATTTATTTCAATTCAATTAACACATTGTAAAAATACGTTTCGCTATTAAAATATCCTCGGTAAGTTTATATTAAACGAAATCTTCCAAATACCGTTTGTCTATTGGCAGTGCAATAGTGCTCACTGCAGCCCAGTAAATTATGGTATACCGACTATGACTTATGTCGCCCGCCCTGCGTTTGGAGTTAATATAGAAAGTATAATCGCGAAGTGCTGTTATGATATCGCGACGGGTGACAAGCGGCGGCCGACGGTTGCGAGCGAGCGCACGCCCGCGTTCCCCGCACGCCACGCCCGCCTTCCGAGCGCGCGGCGCGGCGGTCCGCTCGATACGATCCGGCGTGTGCGCTAGGGTGACTACACTTTAAGCCCGTCTGAGAATGTACAACTTACGTTGTAGTGTATCTTATTCCACGAGTTTAAGATGGAGTATATAAAACGGTACTGTTCTCTGTTAGGAAGTTTGAATGCAGCTGCAGACGATTTACGGTCAACAGATTCGAAAAATCATTTACAAGTATCAGCCCATACATGTCCCACTGCTGGACAAAGGTCTCCTCTGTACAGAGGGTATCAGCGCATAGTCAGTCCACCACGCGGCCCCACTGCGGTTTGAAAGACTTCACATATCCTCGAATTATTTTTTTATTATTATTTCGAAAATATGCAGGTTTCCTCAAGAAGTTTTACTTCACCGCTGACCACGTTATAATTCAGAACTTAAAATTAACAAATTCATTGGTACCGGCATCGGAGATCGAACTGAGATTGCTCGAGTATATTGAATTAAAAGCGAGTGCCCGGACTCTGAGCTATCACGGCTTATATTACAAGTATTTCAAACAATTGCTATTGATGAGTATGTTTATCCTTTTTATACATTTATTGTTCCTAATATCTTCCTCTTGATGATAATAAAAAAAGGTACTTAAGTTCGTGATTATTTTATTAAAAAAATGTACAAGCAAATGCGTGGGCCGTCAATTATTATTATTAATTACGGTTATAAATTAAAAAAATATTAGAACTTGAGTAGAAAAATATTATTTTGAGACATTGAAAATTTAGTTTATACGAAAACTTGGTCGCCCTAAAAAAACGCCGCCATTTTAGAGTTGAACCGCGCGTTTCTCGGTTGCGGCGCGTCAGTCGCTCGGCATCCGCCCGTTAGTGTGTACAATCTGCGTTTAAACGCCATATTTCATTCGAACCGGTTCTGCTATCTTTTTTGAATATGACCACAATGCATTTTGAATACGACCCGGAGAGATTAATAGAGGAAGTGAGGAAGCGTCCGGGAATATGGGATTTCGAAGATGTCGCGTACCGTACAAAGACAATGAGACAAAAATTATGGACGGATGTCGTAAACGAACTTATGGAAGCAGACGTCAAGGTCACGAAGAGCGAGATGCGTGAGCTTGGTAAAAAATTGTATATGAATATATTATTATTATTAACATACAAAAAATTTACGGATGATTTCAAAAAATCACAAGGATTGAGATATGCGTCCACCTGTCATTTGCATCATGTCATAGACAATGACATTTGTAGACGTAGAATAAATATGGAACTAGATAGAAGTATTGGCCATACGTCAATTAGTAAAAAATTATATGTATAGCACATCCCATATAATTCCCCGACTCGTTTTTATTTTTATTATTGTATTAAAATTATTTTCACTAATATACGGAATAGCCATAACACGAGTCATAAACAAGCTCTGTTTATGGTAGACGGTTTGTTTATAAACAAAACCAAGGGTGCTCACACATGTGGCCCGTAAGTTTTAGCCGTACATATTCAAACACTGCGTTAACTCGTTACGCATACGAACTGTGTACTAGAGTTACGCTTTAATTAACGTAGTGTCGAGTATAATGCAATTTTTTTCTACTTCGCATCCGACGGACTTAAAGTATCCGACCTTAATCGAGGTAAAAAACATTTGTACGTCACTCTGTTCTTCTTTTCCAGAACTTCAACTGCAGAAAAAATGGAAGAGCATCAGGGACTGTTTCCAAAAGTACGTGATGAACCCGAACAGGTCCAAGAGGCCTTACATCTATAGCAAAAAGCTGCAATTCCTGCTCAAGAACCAGGACGCGTCAGACAATCACGGCGCTTCTACAGAATCCGATGGCGAGAAGAAATCGAGCATTTGGCGGACGAAGAGAAAACTGAAAATAAACAAGGACAGCTCCGACGAAGACAACGATAACGACAACGACAACTTCAATTTCAACGACGATTCGAAATCGAATTGTTCCAACGAAGTTGCGGATAATAACGAGACACGGACGCCGGCGAAACAGCCCAAATTGCACAGCGCCGTCGCAGTAGACGAGTTCGCATTCGCCAACGTAGACGTGCAGGGCGCGAACGAACCAGAAGACTGTGACAAATTGTTCCTCCTCTCCCTCCTGCCGCACCTAAAGTCGATACCGGAGGAGCACCGATTGAATGTCAAGATGGAAATGATGCACGTATTGAGGAATGCGAACTTCAACACTTCCGTGGAACATAAGATACTCTAATCATATTCACTTAATTTATGTGTAATTTCGAATTTGTGATATTATAGTACGCCTGATAGTATATTGTTAGTTATATTAAGAAATTAAAATTAACCTGTTGTTTATTACGATAAGCCACATTCCAAAATGTGTAAGTTACAAAAATAAATGTGTAAATTTTAAATTAAAGTTTGTATATTATTGCAGATATTCCGAAACTGTTTTCATCGAATTTTACTTATAAACTTTTGTTACACTAAAGTCAACATTTGCCTTACCCTCCTAGTATAAATAATGAATGTTCATCGTTCTCCGATATTTTCAATCCTCTGATAGTGGAATGGTTGATATGATTAACGCTTGATTGTTCACGTGAAGATAAAAAAAGGGTGCAGCAAACTTACCTGAGATCTAAATAAGTGAGTGACTGCAGACCTCCAACAGTTTCCGGTACGCTTCTGATAACATTTTGTGACAGCAACAACTTTTCTAAATACAAATATGTCGTCACTTCGTCAGGCACTTCACTGAATCTATTTTTGGACAGATCTGGAACAAAGAGACTTTGTTTTAGTATGTAATATTTCTTCCCATCCGGTCTTGGTCGCGTAAAAGAATATTGATCCCTTGGCTATTAAAACTTAATAGTTTGGTTTGTAAGCGTGGGGACCTTACACAACAGGGGAGAGAACAAGGTCTTTTTTGTCGACTCAAGCGATTTTACAGCTAAAGTAATGGCCATCCGTAAAGACCGTAATCTGTTGGGGCAGTAATTTTCCCCAACCAACGATAATTTTACAAAGAATATCCCAATATTATGAGAACATTGTATTAAACGTTCTCCTTATTGACAGAATTTGAAAGTACGTACGACAAAATATATTAGAAAATTAAATACAACATACACACGGATTTCAAAAGACATTGTTGTATCGTATCGAAGAAATTCATACTCAATTGAAATCAGTTTGAACATGCATTAGTTATGGACAGTTCAAAGAATTGAAGATATTCAGGCACCCGCAATGTAACTGAACGTTGTGACATCTTAATGAGAGGAATTTATATAACACGCTGTAATGCGATGGGATATTTCTGCACGAACCAGTCGTGGTTCGATGACTCCGTGCCTTAGCTGCAGGGCAAGGCGTGGTTGTGATCAGCCTACTGGATAAAACCACAAACGAGATGGGCTAAAATTAATGACTATCTCAACGACTTTTATTTATCTGTATGCATTACATCTTCTGTATTTGAAATCTGGTAGATTTGTCTAAGAGACAATTATCAAACAGCCAGTGATACTTTGTTTGTTTACAACTTAATGAATAGATTTAATGAATTAATATGGGAAATTTTTAATGAATTTATATACAGGAATTTTATTGAATGCTTTGTATTTATCCGAAGTGCAGGTATGATATAATAATGTAGAAACAATAATATTATGCAGTGCTAATGAAGAATAAATCATATAATACACTGTTATTAATGTGACGTGTATGACTAAGTGATAGTTTTGCGAAGGATGCGAGTGGGTCAGTGGTGTGCTTTACGGTAGTCCTTAAATAATAAAGTGATTGGCAGTAGACTTAAAGGACTTTAATGATGTCGATGATGAGTGTGCAAAACTTTATTTTAGCAAATTTCTCTTAATCAAATTGTTTATACCTTATAAAGAGGACTTGATGTAAGTGTCTGTATGTGAGCAAATAAATATTAATATTTGATAAAATACAACAATTGATATAATTTTTTATGCTTATAATTTTTAATAAATATATTAATAGCAATTTTAAATAAAATTTGATTTTAAAATTAAACATATTAATGATGAATGTCTTCTATGTCTCCCTAAGTATTTTTGTAGTAATTCGGTGTCCGGTGTTTTCCAATAAAACTGAATATACATAGGAGATATCAACAAATATCGGTGCTTGCACCAATTCACTTCTTAATTGAAATTTTCAATTCAGATTCATCACTTAGGTCCCCCCGGATGGACCTGAGTGATGAACGGTACTGATAAGAATGGTATTGATAAGATATTTAATAAGCATACCTTATTATACGCTCACTTTATATTTTCAGATGTAAAAAAAATATAAATACCTATATAATATGTTGCAGCTACACAATGTAGAGACTTAAGAAGTCGATACAATTGTGTAATAACAATGTACAGTAGGGACACATCGACTGATTCACTTCACATTTTATTTCTAATTAATTGTTTATAATTAAACAACTGTAACGTCCCACCACGATAAACACTTAATTTTCCTGTTCCGATTCCTCGGACCTTATTGCTCTATGGGACGTTATAGATATAGAACCTTTCCTCAACCATTGAGTCTTTTATAACAAACGGTATATGTCAGTGGCCAAAGCTGAAGAATGCGCGCAGACTGGTTTGTCTCTTTGTATTACACAGTGTGCATCGGTTGTGAAATTTCAACTTCTTCAAGGATCCAGACGGCTTTTATCTACGTCCAAAAAAGGACTACAGTGAAATCGTCAGCAATGAGTGTCCAATAAATAATCTACGTTACTAATATCTACGCTACTAGATTGGATTACTTTTTTTATTTATACTATAATGAGTATTTTACCAGAGGGCCACCGAATATTATATTCCCGTATTCAGTATTTAATTGATCGTACTCAGTAAGGCAGACTTAATAAAATAAGAACAAACGGAATAAAATCTAAGAAGCTTACTTAGAGTTAGCGGCTAACAATATGTAATTACAGACAATTTAATTGCCATTGTTTAAAGTTAATTTTATTTTATTATTATTATATGTATACGTTATTAATATGCAAATAAGCTCATGGGGTTCGACGCGTCAAAAGCCTGGAAACTTTCTTTTAGTATGTGTCAACGTAAGCAACAAAAGGAAGTCCCCTATGTTATAATAGCGAGAGAAACACGCCTGCGAACAATGAATATAAATTAAACGCAAGACATAACGGAACTTACCATGCTTTAGATACTTATAATAAAATAACTTCGAATTAGTTTGGATGCTCATAAAATAGCATAAACCAACCGTGAGAAAGATTCAACGGAGAAGTGGACAATACAACAGATATATCCCTATGTAATGTGTTGGTTACATGTATGTATATTGTAAATGATTTCTAATTAGAAATAGAACACATACTGACGCTTTTACGCTTTAGCCGGGATCAGATTGGTATAAACATGTCCAACAGTACAAGAATTACTGTTTGGTGTAATTTTTTTTTTCAAACAACTATAATAACGTCGTTCTGAGCCAAATAGACACAGCTGCGGTGCAGAGCTATCTTGTTTGAGTTCTATAACAAATGAAATAAACAGAGATTGTATCAAGAAGAAATACAAACTGGTATGTTCCTCCAAATAGCTTAAACACTATATAGAGAACTTTGAACTATTAAATTGGAATTATGAATATTCAAACCTTAACTTCGACCCCATATCGGAAGTCCTGTGTCTCGGTTCGCATTTCCATAGAAATATTTATAAAATATTTTCAGTTTGAACGAGATAGACAGGGATAAAATGTCAGGTCACTTACATAATATATATAAAAAGAAAAACGTCAAACGATCATAATTCAAATCCAAAAAAGATTCAAAATATGCTTTACAATCCACTGCGATTCTTCAATCCCCACACCTCACCCAGCAGCCCCATCTTACGAGACGCCGAGATACTACTAGCTCACCATCTTCCCACCACCTACTTAGGGACAATATATGAATCTTATGGTCAGTGTTATTTGCCAGGTTTTTTCCATCATCGGCCGCCTACTTGACGTCGACCATCGCTGTCAGTGTCAACCTGGCAGGCGCCTGGCACTTACCCCCCATGCTAACAAACAGATTCTAAACAAATACCTGTGGGCCACACTTGTCCCGTGTGGAAGAGAACCAACCTATGACGCCCGTCGCCGAAACCGATAACTTAGCAACTGAACCACCGAGTCAGAGCTAAAGGTATCCTAATTGTACGTAATTTAAAACCTAATACGCCCGCTGAAGTAATTTTAAGCCCTCGAGAGATACGGAGTAAACATTAATGCGCGACTAGAACAGGGACGGGAGCCTCTGTTTTAATAATTACGCGCCGCAGTTTCCGGCGGCCATCGTGAATAATGTTGCGAGATCCGTGACTCACATAAAACGCGGCTGACTTTAACGCACTGTATGCGTTGTTATAAACTCTACGACGGTGTAAACACAGGCGTTCGAACCAACCGTTCGCCGATAAACAGTCTACGTACTACGTGCTAATTTCTTATAAGCTTTGAAAGCATGCTAGGTTTGGTTATGATAGAGAATGGGTCGCTAAATCTTGACTCAGTCAGTCTGTTGTGAGATAAAACATACATGTCAGGAAACGATATTGTGCTACTATTTTGCTCATAAATTAAATTTGATGTTTCTTCTCAAAATACTCTCCGAAGATTTAAAGGCAACGATTATACTAAACTTAGGGAGTAACAATTTGTAATATAAAACGCATAGTGGTTAGCTATGAGATTGATATCTGAGTCAAGAACTAAGCTATCCTGTGCTTATTCACTTAATTCCCGATCCAAAATATTTATAATTGGTTGACCGTTTCGACTCTACTTTACCAGATAGCATAATATTTTTCAAATTATCGTACTTGTAGGGCAGTACAATCTACACAGAACAATTATTAATGCGGTCAAACCGCAAAACCCTCTATATGGTTCTTATGATTATTATTTGTAAGGTTATTCTTGATTGATGCTTGATAAACGTTAAGAAACGATAACCAAGACTTTAGAAACGATAAACAAAATGATTTATTACTTTGACAAATAAATTCGCAATGGCTATACGATCTACATAGCAGGTATACTGTCGTTATTTTATAACTTTCTTTATGCAATTGATTTTAATGTCATTACATTAAGAGCATCTGAAGACATCCAGCCGACTGTTTTCCTATGATGTCTAAATTAAAGTAACTTTTGTTTGCAAAAACAAACGATACT